GATTTCAATATTATCGATTGATCGACGAGGGATTTCGTTTCGAAACTTTACTAAACTCGATTAGATTTACTAACTAACGTCCACTCTTAAAATCGATTAGGGATAAGAAGCAGTTTTAAAATTTAAATAAGTAAAGATACGATCCATTCCCCTTTGAATAGTGAATTATTTTTATCCATTGGAAAATATATCAGGGGATCACAATTTCGACCCTCTGCTAGGAGGAAGGAATTGAATATTTAAATTTAAAAGATGGTAAATTTAAAAATTGGTATAATAATAAATTTGAAAGTTTTCGCCCCATCTGACGGGATTGTTGATCTTGTTTGCAGACGATGAGGCTGACCAAGCGTATAGACGAGGTCAGGTTGCTCGAGTCGCGTAAGAGCGCACGGCTGGCAGATCAGGACACAGATTTCGCTAGGCTCGCCGATATGGCCGGTGATCGGAAACGAGCATCCTCCCACTCCATCGACGTGCCGCACGTGATTGGGTAAGTATTTGATCCATTCAGTTCGTTTATACGTAAGTAGACTGCGGATCTTCGTCACATTTGTGCAAAATTAAACAAATATCGTGAATAATGTGAATGAAAATGGAAGAAAGATATTCAAGTTTTGCATTTCTTTATTCGAAGAATAAAATTCGAATCTTTGTTCAACATCAAGTACAACGCGTGTGTTCATATTAAAAAATCGAAATTAAATATATAGATTTTTTTGGATATAAAAAGCAATTGCGATGAAATTCAAAAAGGATATTACGTGAGTTATACATTTAATGCAAAGAGAAATTCTTGAATAGTTTGAGAATTCTTTTGCACGTATTTTTGGGGGAAAAGATTCGTGACACAATCGTAAAATCGAATGTGTCAAGATCCTTATTTCCTTGGTCCTCGTTCCAATAAAAATTTCTTACTCTTACACGAAATATTGAATATTTTGCATAAATTTCGAGTATATTCTGCAGTCTACTCGCAAGGAGGCAAAAAACTCGATTATACTTGATTCGCGACGAAACGCACGGCTAACTCGAGACTCAACATCGATAGGTCCTTTTCGTCCTCGAGAATTCCAAAAATCCACCAAAAATCCTGCAATTACCAACTCCGAAGCCAACAGAAGATTCCTTACTTACCCACCCTTCCGCTGGAACCGGATCGTGAGTATTATTTTAATTCTCGTAATCCTCGTCAATCCTTACCTAACGAGAGACCTCGTGGAGAAAAAGAAGAAAATATAATTTTAAAACTCGCGTAAAAAGCTCGTCACAAACATTAATGGGTTTCGAAGAAGAAGAAGAAAAAAAGAAATGAAAAGAGAAGAGAAGAAAAGGAAAAGAATGTTTTTAAATCCGGGGCGCTTTCGTTGACTCGAAGAGATCGTAAAAACGATATATGTCGTAACCGTAGTGCGAGTGTCAGCCTCCCTTCGAAAAATTCTGCCCGCTTCCAACTAGACCCTTCCTCTCTAGATTTAGCGTGGACACGTGTGAGCCTGCATGCACACATTTAAACACGTGTATACAGGGTGATTCATACGAAGAATAATACGATTATTAATATTTTTTTAATAATAATATTTTTTAATATTATGGAAAAAAATGTTATCTTTTCCAAGTGTCGAAGTTTAATTTATAGATATATATATATATATATATATTTATTTTTAAAAATTCTAATTCTAAGATTTAACGAGACGTCTAATTAAAATCGTTTACAAAATATTAATAATAACGATAAGATAACGCGATAGGTGGATAGTAAAAAATTCACATGTTTTCCATAAATTTATAATTATGCTAATATCCTTGTTCGAATGACCGCAGTCATTTGAATTAGCTAGAAATGTAAATTACGTTTATACATATTCAAAACCTGTGCGGATATAACCATAGCGATCTTGAAATCTTTCTGCACGTTTCTATATCGTAAAAATACAAAATAAGTTTAAAATAAATGATCGGCTTCCTATAAATACTTCAGCCTCGATCATTAACATTCTCTGTTTTCTTTTTTTTTTTTTTTTTTTTTTTTTTTGAAAAAGGATAATCTCTTTGGAAATAAATGTTTTGAAATATTATTTATCGATATAGCCGAGTATCGTATCTTTGAATATAATTCGCGAAAATACTACGAATTGTTATTCGTCACTTGTACATATTATTTAACATTTGACGACACTAGTGCCATTAATAGTTATTAACTACTAATATCCAACATATTTATTTTCAAATATTCCAAAAAATTTTGTGACGCGCGTTATTAACACATCCTATCGTTAACCTTATAAATATCCAACGTATTTACATTCCTCTATAATTTATCTACTTTAATTTTTCAAATATTATACAACAATTATACTTCCAAATTCTCGAAACTCTAGTCGATCGTCGCAGCGCTCTATTATCTCTGGGAATATCGAATCGTCGGGGTTTTACGTGCCTCACCCTATATACACACACATTGTTGAACACACAGCCTGTCTAAAAATCGAAGGTATCCTCCTCCTAATTCGAAAAAAGCTGCCCGCACCCACACGTTGCAACGAGGGGAGAGCGTTAAAAGGCGTCTGGTTCCCGATCGTTAGACCGTGAACGCACCCTCGCCGGACACCTGTCCCTCGGCCTTTCCACCGCACGCAGTCGTCCAAGTGTTCTCTCTCTCTCTCTCTCTCTCTCTCTTCTCTCCAACCCCTCGTGAAACATTCTGGAATCCGATCCAACCGTCGCGATTCGACCATGGCTGGGGGAGGACGCGTTTCGTGAGACCCGACCAACGCGGAATTTCTACCTTGGGGGAGAGCTTTGACCCTTCCAAGGGCAATTTTCGTCTAGCAGGATGTCGCTTCGGTGTCTTCTTTCCTTTTTTTTTTTTTTTTTAATTTTTTTTTATTTACGAGGACTTCGATGTCGAACGTCGTCGACTTGGAAATCGTTCGACGATTTTTGAATATTTTGATATTCGAGATTTTGAGAATTTTTAAGTTTGTGAAATTTATTTCTTTTAAGGATCGACAGTTTTGATAATTTTGGAGAATAATTTTGGAATGGAGGATGATTGATTTTCAGATTTATAAATTTTGAGCAAGCTGTTATTGTATATTTGTATATTTACGAAAAATATTTCTAAAATCTATTTCTCTTGCTCGTTATAAAAATTTAATTAATACGGGAATAGCATTCGTCCCAAATTCTTGAAAATTTCATCCTCCCCTCGCGCAGCCGGAGCAATAAATCGAAAGGTATTTATATCCTGTCTAATGAAAACTTCATTGCTGACAACTATTATGGGCCACCGATGGCCCTAAATTTAACGCTCCATAAAAATAAAAAATAAAATAAACACATCGTGAAGGAAAACATTCGAAGACAATGACATCGAACAGATTTTGTCCTCGACAAAATATCCACCAAATATCCATCAGGTATATCGTACACAAAGGTGGATCTAAACTGCACAATTGCCGGTGAATTTTATGATTTAGGACCGGGGAAACAACAATCGTCGTCTCTCTTAGCGTTACAAAATCGTAATTTCATTTTTATGGCCGCGACACGACCGCCGCGAGACGAGTTTAATCGTCGAGACGCTCTTCAAACGTTCTTCGTGGAGGATAAGCCAAGGCTTTTAAAGGTTGAATAATGAACGTTGAATCGTTTCCTTGCGATGAATCTTCGCTATACGGGGGATAGTAGAAGAAGCTCACTATTATAAAGGCTAAGAATATGTTATGTATTAATGCGTAGATAATTTTCTTTCCAAATGAATTCAACGAAAATGATATATATTATGTTTAATATATATCGATCCAATAATAAAAATTCCTACGATTTCTAAGATCAAATTATGTATCGTTGAAACGGATCGTTGGACATTTATGTGTATTAAATTTATAATATATATATACACGCTCGTTGACAATCTTTCTTCCAATATATCAATCGTACAATAAATACAAAATTACAACATTAAACCCGCATCGACGAAGAAAAAAAATATTCTCTGCAAAGAAATATTTTCTCTATGGCTTCTCATCTTTGAGTGGTTCCGAAACCCACCGTTTTTCATCTACCTACCTGCTGCATCTTTTCGGTCATAGAGAGAAGATTCTCTTTCTCTCCCCTCTCCCCTCCCCCTATAACCGTCTCCCCTCTGACAGAAGGGTGGAACGACTGTTTCACGATGGCAACGACCCCGAGACTTCGACTTTTCCTTCTCCTTTTTTTTTTTTTCCCTCCCCTCTCCCTCTTCTTTTCCCCCTTTGGGCGTAGTCGTGCACGACCGAGGCCTCGACGAAGAGATCCTCTTCACAAAGGACGAGTTGGAGCCTGGCGGCGGGGAAAAGAGAGGAGAGGAGAAGAGAAAAGAGAGGAGGAGGAGGAGGAGGAGGAG